CTTTTTGCACACTGATGAAAATCTGGACCAAGTTAAATGGAATCTCAGACAACATGCACGTGCTCAGACCTGGACTAGGGAAAGACATTCACAAAGCCTGAGCCTGAATTGATTCAATCTTTGCAGGTTAGCCTAACTTGCCTAGATTTAACAAGTTTGCAACTGACCAGACATTTCCTCTGGATTGAAGAAATGAAGGTACATACCTGCAGTGGCTCAGGCTAGAAGCCGGGGGATGGTAGAGCAGCCCTCCCTTCCCTTCAACAGTGCTGAGCTGAGGTGGGCATGGCCAGGCCCCAGCAGGACCTCTGATTAGGGAGGGGTTTAAACCCCTGCACAGTCCCAGGCTTTTTCCCGCTTGTTGCTCAAGGGGTGGGAGTGTTGCCAGACACCAGCCCCCGGTTAACACGCTGAGGCAAAGGGAGGGTGTGCAGTGCATGCATCTGTTGATGATACTGAGTTTTTCAATCTCCTTCTCCCTGATTTTTCATACTGTCTGCAAACCTGACAGGCGAGGGAGCCAGCAAGGAGCTGATAATACAGCATTTTTCAGCCCATCAGCAAAACAAAAACCTCTCTCATTAGTTAAAGCTCTTCTTAAACAGCTTTTTCCAAGGAAGGAATGAAGGGACATTACTAGTTATCTTGTTGATTAGCTCCAAAAAGCCCTAAGCAGACACTGTTCTGTTTGCCTGTACCAGTGAAACTGGAGACACTCACACAGACACCCCCCACATTGGCTAGCATACCGCATGCCTAGCGTCTGTGGGACTAGGGAGGGATGGAGGGGGGATCTTTGCTTAAGCAGCAAGCAGCAATGCGGGGGGAGGCGGGGGATGTGGAACAGGAGGAAGCCTGGCAGACCCTACTGTGCCTGCAGTTTCTGCCAGAGCTCTAACTAAGGAGCAGAGGGGCAGGGCCAGCCCTGTTCTCTAGAGCTGAGACTAGAGTACAGCCCAGCCCAGCCCAGCACAGGGCTGCAAAGTATCTGGAATGCTGGGGGACCCTGGTTTAACTTAAACCAGCAAGGGGTCTGGGACAGACATTGCATAAACCGGTTTGACCTAAATCAATTAAGTCTGATGCTGCATTCAACCTGGTTTATCTTAAACCAGTTTCAGCCATTTTGAAACTGGTTTATGTGCACTGAACTTATGTTCTGTTATAGGTTTAAACCAGTTTCTGATTACTTAAATTGGTTTATGTGTAATGTCTGTCCTTAACCTTAAAGGTCAACTAAAGTGTTAGCCCTATATAATAAACAGTTTGTTTAATTTTTATCCAATTCCATTTCTACGTCTTCCTCCCAAGAAAATTTGAGGAAGGGAAGGAAGAGATGGACATGAAACAGACTGACCAATTTTTTTATGTTTTAGTGTAACTCTAAGCTCCTGTTTTAAATAATCAAAATCTGATACACAAAAATATTAATGGTTTCCTGGGAATGTTAACTTGGCCATACTGGACAAATTGTGCATGTTATGGCATACATGTGACAATTAATATTAAATTAGTTAATTATTAGGCTCAAATTATATATATATATATAATTTGAGATATATATAGGGCTTAGTTTGGCTGTCTGTGAGTCTGTTTGTGTGTGTGTCTGTCTGTAACGCTCTTCATCAACTGTGCCTGCCTCGAGAGGGTAGAGATTGACTGAATGGGCTCAGGTGGGTGCAGGGTCGGGGGAGGTGAACAGGGAGGACCACAGTGGTGGCACCCCCCTCCCCCCACTGCCCTGCCCCGATGCCCACTCCTATGCCCGGCGGGGCAGGGTGCCCAATGCACACACGCACCCCACAACTTTTATTACCAACAGCTGGCAGGGAGGGGAAGGCAGTAGGTAAAGAGGGAGGGAGGGAGGGAAGCGGGAAGGGGAAGGGAGGCACAGAGGCAGGGGGAAGCCCCATAGCTCCGGGGAGGAGGCTGAGGTGGGTGGGGGGAGGGAGCCCCCATGCTGGAGGCTGGAGAAGGAGGCAGGGGCAGGAGTGTTTACATGCCCGCCCCCCCTCCCCACCCCCCGCTCACCCTTCGGGGCCGGACATGTAAACACACTTTTGAAATCCATCATTCTTGATGGGCAATTGGCTAGAACTAATATAAAAGCTTAAGAAAGTTAATGCATATATTTAAAAAGCAACACACAGAAACTAAAACATGTGCTATATTCTCTTTACTCTAGGGAGATTTGTTTTTTCATTTCCTGACCACTGACCATTTAATTTCATGACCTTTCTGTGACCTCAAAATACAGTTTTTAAAATTTCCCAGGGCCCCTTTCCCAGGGGGTAGCCTCCTACCCATACACACAGATGTACACAAACCACACAGAGAAATCTATCTACATGATTTCACAACATTTACTGTCCTTGGGACACTTTTTAGTCTCTTTACCTAAATGTAGTTTAAGAGAGTTTGATTTTTAACACTAAAAATGATTAAGCACCAAACAACAGTAGACTCCCACATGAAATAATCAAAACCTTAACCTGTTGGCTTGGATGGCTATGGTATAGTCTGCTGTTGCAATGGATTATCCTCTTGTCCCCAGCCCTGAGCTTAACATTCTTAAACCCCCAATTATAGGCGGTTTATTTTACTGTATTTCATTTAGTGCTCATTAAAGTGCTGAACTGAGAACTCTGGTGGGTGATGTTCTCTATTAAATCAAAAAAACAAGAACAGCATGAGCATTTGCAATCAGACCTTCCCAACCACCAGCCTTTTAATGTGTCTCCAGTTAGCATGAGTTAAACTGACCTCCTACAGAATTTCAATCCTTGGCTTTCTGACCCAGACAGCAAACACTGCCAATCAGTGCCAACTGTGCACTGTGTGTTTTATGTACAAATTGTGTACTAGAACCTTAAATAGAACAGCTTATCAGATAAAATATAACCTTAGTAGTCACCCTCTCCTACAAAATTTTCTTAATGAATTATTAGTTGTCCATATCTATTTACTTTCCCTCTTGCCCTACTAAGTGAACCACAGGAAAAAAGAAAAGGTAGCAGAGCACACAATATAGGTGGCAAATCCAACCTTCTTCTCTATGGCTACAAAGGGTACCTTTTCACTGGAACTGAAGCATTTCACCCACAGAAGGGCTGAGATTGGGCAGGTCATGTGCAGCGTGCACAAACCTTACGAACCTCATAAGAGTCTACTGCAAAGCAGTAGACAGGAGACAGAAAGAATCAGTCTGTCTTCCTCCAAACCTTGCAGGGCCATGCAAGAGCTTGTAAAGGTTAGTCAGGCCATTGAGCTACACAACTGAGTTGTTCTGGCCCTGGAGATTCCTTCCTTGCAAACCTAACACTTCTGCTTTACCCCCAATCCAGTGTTCGGAGTTTCACAATGGTTCTGGATTTTACCCTCTGTGCACATGATCCCTTTTTAAATTTGTAAATTAACAAATATGCAGTACACAGATTGGGATAAGAATGAAGGCAACAGAGAACAAGGACAGTTTCAGTTTGGTGGTAAAGGCACTAAATATGTACTCAAATGACGTACATTCAACTGCCAGACTGTGTTCTCTCTGCCTCGATTTTCCTCATGCGAAGTTTGGCATAATAATCTCTCTCACTCTTTATCTACCTTGCCACTTCAGAGCATGAGTTCTTCAGTTTTTTACTATGAGCTTGTACAACATCCTAGCACAATGAGGCCATGATCTCCCTTAGGACCTGTTTGGGTATTACTGTAGTGCAAAAGACGACAGCCATGAAATAAGAACTGGAGCAACCAAATTTAAAATCTCCTGGGGAGAAAAAGTCCCCAAACACATCCCCTGGGCATTTAATGAGGAAGTATGTACTTTACTTCAAATTTACATATGAGCTTTACACGGATTTACCCATGACCTTACATATGAAGGGTTTTATTTTTAATTGATACAGTTCTAGCTTTTTATTTGTCATCTTTGACTGACTGATTTGCATGAACATGGCTACTGGTAAGTGAAGCAAAGTGTTTATGTGTCTTCCTGAGTATTATAGAAAGTCAGTAGGAGAGTCCAACAGTTCTGTCTACCAGTCCTCTGTTCTAATTACCAGGCTCCTGCTCTAATCTGTAATCAATTCTATGTGTCATCTAATTTTGAAAACACACTAACAAAAAATAAAATGAAACTCTTTCCTTTTGGTGGTTCACTCAGAAATTGGAGGGGGAAGGGAAGCAGGGACACAACAAATAATCACTGAATTCTACAAATTACTTTCACAATAGAGGTGCTAATGATTTAAAGCAGGCTTTTGGGGCAGGACAGTCTAGAACTAAAGGCAGAATAAAGAACACTTATATACTAGTCATAACATTGATATCAAGTAATACTTAATTTGCTAGCTCCACCTAAACTTGGATTCCTTGGAAGTCAAATTGTTTTCCATTTGAGATGTGGTATTTGGTGCCAGTGTACATCAGAGCTCTCCAAAAACATTGCCTAGAGAAGAGCACCTGGTACATCTTGTCTCTCTCAATCATGGTTTCCCCTGAAAACCAAAGATGTCGGGTTCCTGTCCCTCCATGACAGAAGATATGGAGTAATATTGTGGTGGAAGACGAGGCAAGGGACACTGCTTTGTGTGTTTAGGGCTGTAATATACCTGTTCTGATCCACCAGAGGCCAATTTATGTAGGAAAGAGTTATGCATAGGGATAGTGATAGCCTGAATTAGTTAATTCTTGATTTTTTCAGCAGTGTGTTCAGCTGTTTGGAGGACCGCTTGCCTACAGTTGTCATATCTTTCTACTAAAGAATCAAACAGTCCATTTTACTTATTGGTCTCCTTATTTTATAAAGTACTGGGCTGTCAGGAGGCATTTTCAACCCTGTTTGAACTGAAACACTGAATTTTTCAAGCTTGTTAGAAATACATGTATATAATTTAGCTTCTTAAGTACACCTCCTTCAAAAATATTTGAGATAATTTCTTGCAATGTCCCACCTATAAAGGCCATTACAGCTTTCTCCACAGCTGTGTATTGGCTCTTACCGGTCAAGGAGAATTTCTAGTACTTCTTTAGTAGAGGCAAAGGCCCTGTACGTTGACAGAAAAATGCTGATGTAGGTAAAATCGTTGTCTCCAAAAGCTGTCAGGAGGGTTTCCACAAGTTTCTCCAGGGTGCCAGCTTTGATTGTTCTGATTTTACATGTCTCATACTGGCTAACAGTATGTTCTGGAGGCAATTGGTCCCCTTCAGCCTGTGAAACAAAAGATCAAAATCATGACCTAAATCATGAAACAAGCAGAGTCCCCAGTCTGAAACTCAAATTAAATTTTGCCTTTTAATAACACAGATGATAATATATCACAAATTACTGAAATATTTCATCATTTTGATTGCTGGTCCAAAGATGGCTCCAATGACAAACCTTGTTAGAACTGGTTATCCTTCTTTACAGTATTACTTTGACATCCGCCATCAGTAATTAACTGCAACCCAAGGACAAACAGATCTTTACTATCCAAACCAGAACAGTGCCAAGGTAAGATAGCTAAAAGAAACAGGTAAGTGATAGAGGAAACAGTATGAATCATAACTGGCACTCTTCTGAATCAGTGCTAAAACCCATACTTCCACCCAACGTTGAAGGTGGGAGTTATTATCAGAACTGCATATTGTTAGATGAGATATAAAACTAGGTCCTGACCATTTGCAATCAAACACGTTTTGTAAAAGCAGAGTGTTAATCCCAGTATTCCAGGTATATCCCAGAGGAAGCAATATATTTTGTCTCCCTTTGTTCCTCTTATCAAGTTTTACATATAGATACAATATGTCTTGTCACTTTTACACTTTTCTTTGCACTGGCTGGAGCTTGATCCAAGCCCAGTTAAGTTAATGGGAATAAGTCGTCATTATTACTCTAGAGGCAAAAATATGTTAATAATAGAAAATGGTCCCTGTGAGTGATTCAGTTACTTGTTTGCAAAGATAGGTGAGATGGAAACTTCTGTACAGATAAAAGATGCAAATATATATATTGACAACAACAATTTGACGTTTCCCCACTTTTTGTGTTTTTATAGTCCAGTTATAAAAACGAATATTATCAGAGTCTACTGGCATTAAAAGGCAGGGAGACTTCGATAAGATGTATGATTCTCTTCATTAATTTATTTAAATGTGCACCAAGGTCCTGAGGCACCGTACCTTCAGTTTCAAGGGTGCACGCTGAGAAGCACCTGCTCAGTTACCTTTATATAAATAATTGTCATCCAACATACCTACCACCAGCACTAATAAACTTTCATGAACAAAAAGACTAATTTCCCTGGAGATATGTAGATAGTTCACACAAGTCAGTGTAAATCTATAGTCCTTAGGATAAAGCCTGTTAATCTCCAACAGGCCTCCTTTTTTGTAATATATGTAAATAAACAATTCATGGTATGTGTGAATCTAGAGCCACCTCTACACATGCAGGTAAAGGCATGATGGGATCTAATGCATGATTCATATAATCATACATTAGATCTCATTGCACCTTGTTGCTGGTGTATGGGGCACCCAATCCCAGGCTCTGCCTGCACTGGCAATAAGCAGACTCCCATATTTGGAGCCCCACACACCCCAATTGAGAGGCTTCCAGTCACAGGGGCACACCAGAAACCCCTGAGGCCAGAGAACTGCTGCAAGGGTGATTCCCTCATCCCAGGGGTGTGGGAAATCCTTTCAGATGGAGGATCACCACAGAGGTGACCCACCACCCCAGCAGTGCAGGAAACCCACAGGGCCAGAAGACCACTGCAATCCTTGGGTCCCAGGGGTTTTCTGCACCCTCATGGCAGGGCAATTAGCCCTGCAGCAATCTTCTGGCCCCAGGGGTTTCCTTCACCCCTGTATCCTAGGGATCATAGCTGCCATGATTCCTAGAGCTCAGGAGTGCATTAAACCCCCTGTTGCCATGATCCCTAGTGCTCGTGAGCTTTTCACTGGTCATGGTGTACCACTGCAGCTGGCAGCCCCATCAGCTGATGGGGCTCTCAGCAGCAGGGGAGACCCTGCTACACATGCAAATTAAAGCTAGATAGCAGCCAACTATAAAGTTATTATAAAGTTTATACATTCGAGGTCTAACTTTATAGCTAGTTGGAGCTTTTTATCTTGTAATAGCTACTTTGCATGTGAAGCTGGTCCCCAGGGAATTACACAATTAACCAGTTAATTGTGCAATACTTGTAATGTGTAGAGGAGGCCTAGGATTAAGAGCATTATTTAAGGGGAAATTTAGACTATCTAGAAAAAAATGTTAAAATTGTGGCATGGTTTTCTGGGCTAAGTACAGACAATCAACAAGCCCGAGGCTGAATTTCAGTCTTTGCAGTTTAGTATAAACTGCAGAAATTAAACTGAAACTGAAGTGAACAAGAATTGATTCAGGAAATACAGACACGTGCCTGCAGTGGCTTGGGCCAAAAGCTGGGGGGTGATAGAGCCTGGCTCTCTGGCTGTGTGTTCACTTCCTCTTCTTGCTTCTAGGTGCCTCTGGGATTTGTAGTCCACAGCTGCAGCCAGCAGTAAATTTGAGTGGGGGAAGGGTGGTTAACCCCCCCGGCCCCAGACTGCAGCCAGGGTTTGCCAGAGGGGCGGGGGGTGCAGCCCCCCCGTCTTGTAGACTGGGCTGGACACCATCCGGGCTTGCCCCTCCTTCAACCCCCCCCCCCCCCCCGCGCTCCCCCCCCCCCCCCCCCCCCCCCCCCGTCAGGCAGCTCTGCTCTCTGGAGCAGACAGCACAGCCCAGCCCAGCCCAGGGCTGCAGAGCATGCTGGGATGTTGGGGGACTCTGATTTAATTTGAACCAGGAAGGGGTCTGCGACAGAAGTTTCATAAACCGGTTTGACCAAAATCAGTTAAATCTGATACTACATTCAACCAGGTTCATCTTAAACCAGTTTCAGCCATTTTGAAACTGGTTTATGTTCAGTGAGCTTCTGTTCTGTTACAGGTTTAAACCAGTTTCTGATCACTTAAACTGGTTTATGTGTAACTTCTGTCCCTAGCCCCAAAGGGAATAGTGGAAGCCTCGTTGCTTAAATCTTTTAAAATTAAGGCTGGCTAAAGCATTATTAATAAGCCATGAAAAACAATCCTGGGCTAACCAGTTTATCCTTCGTTCATTTCCCTTGAAGTCTCAAGATAGAACAGAAAGAGTTCAAGCCATTTCTGTTGCAGTCCAGCATCATAAAACTGAATAGCTTCTCCTCTCCTAGGTGCCAGAAACACATCTGCACAAACTAAATCTTCTGCTGCAAACTACAGGTGCACTCTATTTCCATCTAGTTTCCCCACACTGGGTTCCACCTTTCCCAACTGATAATGGTTTGCAATTACCACTGTTACTTTGCCTTTTCCAGCTGTCTGTAATTGAAATATTATAACTTTAACAACCTTCTGGTATGTATTTTGATCTAAATTTAGCACTTCTGAAGGTAGACTTTCTAAAAGAGATTTTCTATGTTTAGTTTTAGTTAAACAGATTTTAAAAAATGAATTATGCTTGGCTTTATGTGCACACCTACACATAAAAAGGTACACTGGTATAATTAAACTGATTTAGTTAGAACAGTGTAAACCCCTGTGCAGATGCACTAATATCAGTGTAAAACTGATTATATCAGTTTATCTTATCCTTGTAAATATACAGGTTTAAAGGTGATTTTAAAAGTTCTACTACTTGTATCGTAGTAGCACTTCCAAGGCTGAATCATAGACCAGATTACAAGGCTGAATCGTGGACCAGTATGCACACATATACAAAAGTAAGTCCTGGTTAAAAATTGTATTCACATGCGACCCGATTTTCATAGATTTCATAGACATTAGGGCTGGAAGGGACCTCGGAAGATCATCGAGTCCAGCCCCCTGCCCAAAGGGCAGGAAGTCAGCTGGGGTCATAGGATCCCAGCAAGATAAGCATCCAGTTTGCTCTTGAAGTGTTCAATGTAGGCACTTGAACCACCTCCGGTGGCAGGCTGTTCCAGACCTTGGGGGCTCGGACAGTAAAGAAATTCTTCCTTATGTCCAGCCTGAAACGGTCTTGTAGTAGTTTATGACCATTCGACCTAGTTGTCATCCCTTGGGGCGCTCTGGTGAACAAACGTTCCCCCAGATACTGGTGGTCACCCCTGATAAACTTATAGGTGGCCATCAGATCACCCCTTAGCCTGCGCTTTTCCAGGCTAAAGAGCCCCAGGGCTCTCAGCCTGTCATCGTAGGGTCTGCTTCCCTGACCTCTGATCATGCGCGTGGCTCTTCTCTGGACTCTCTCAAGCTTCTCCACATCCTTTTCGAATTGTGGAGACCAAAACTGGACGCAGTACTCCAGCTGTGGCCTCACTAAGGCCGAGTACAAGGGGAGAATGACGTCCCGGGATTTGCTTGAGAAGCATCTGTGGATGCAAGCCAGCGTTTTGGTCGCTTTACAAGCCAAAGCATCGCACTGCAGGCTCATGTTCATCTTGTGGTCAATGATGACCCCCAAGTCTCTTTCTTCCATAGTGCTAGCCAACATAGCACTGCCGAGCCTATAAGGATGCTGCGGGTTTTTTTTCCCAAGGTGGAGAACCTTGCATTTATCGGCGTTGAACACCATCAGATTCTCGTCCGCCCACTTGCTGAGCCTGTCCAGGTCAGCCTGGATAACCTGCCTGTCTTCTGGTGTGGATGCTTTGCCCCAGAGGTTGGTGTCATCGGCGAACTTGGCCAGTTCTGATCGCTTCTGACTCCAGTGTCCACATCATTAATGAAGATGTTGAACAGTATGGGTCCAAGGACAGAGCCTTGGGGGACCCCACTGGTCACAGGACACCACGATGAGTGACTTCCATCGATTACTACCCTCTGGGTCCGACCCCGGAGCCAATTTTCCAGCCAGTGGATCGTGGAGGACCCAAGGCGACAATTGGCCAGTTTCTCCAAGAGGCGATCATGGGACACCAGATCGAAGGCTTTTTTGAAGTCAAGATATATGACATCAATCTCTTCTCCCTTGTCCAGGTGATAGGTCACCTGGTCGTAGAAGGAAATGAGATTGGTCAAGCAAGACCTACCCGCAACAAACCCGTGCTGGCTGTCCCTTAAGATGTTGATGTCGGCCAGTCCATTAAGGATGGCCTCTTTAATAAACTTTTCTAAGATCTTCCCCGGGATAGAAGTCAGGCTAATGGGCCTATAGTTAGCCGGATCCACTTTCCTCCC